GAAATTATGCAATTCCCGGATGTAACGTCATATATTAAATATTTGTAAAAAGCTTGCATTAGTTACGCGACGAAATTCCTAGTTACTATTACTATTATGTTTTAGACTAAAAATAAATAATATATCTTGTATGTCATAAGTTGTGATTACACAAGAGAGACATTTAAAGCATAGAATAGTTTAAAGACATAGATAACACAATATTGTGTTAAGAACATTACTAAGAACATTACTACGTATATAAATGGCCTAAATTCAACATACTTGAAAAATAACTTTGTAATAAGTTTATCTTGAAAATAAGTTAAATAATAAACTAGTTTTGACTAAATAAAATAAATAAACATTTCTTTATAAATCATTAAACAAACTATTCGCCAATAGCCAATTCATTCTGATACACATAATCAATTAATACGCTCTCCAAATAATAATAATAATAATAATTGGTGACACTATTACTATTACTATAACTTACCCGTAAAACGGACGAATTTAAAAATATTAATAATATAAGCATTCGAAATCTTTCTTTTATCGAAAATTAATTTTTTTTTTTAAAAAAAATTTATCCTTTACAAATTTTTCGTACAGATATTGAAAAAGGTTTATCTATTTACTACTAATAAAAAATGGCAGAAAATAACTTTGATAGTGTTAGAATAACAATCGATGACACAACAACAGATACAAATAGTATTATTGAGCAACAAAATAATATTGATATACATAGATGTCATATTGACCAAATAAAATATAGTCCTAATTTAAAGTTTTTTGTAACTCATAGTGAGAAAGATTCGTCTATTGTTGGATGGACCATTGATGACGAAGGAATTATCCAGCGAGATAATTGCTTTGATATTGCAGATGATTTTAAAAAACGCTCCTTTTCTATAAGAGATGTTTCTGATAACAAATATATAATTTTATATCAACAATATACAGGATGTTTTAGTAAGCAATTATTAATTAACTGATATATGTATTTATGGGTTGCAAAATAAAATATAATTTGTATTAAAAATTGAATGAAATTATGATATAATGAATTTTCAGAAATAAAAGAAATAAAACAAGTTAATACTTGTGTATGATTTGGGCATTTCACAGCAAAAACCACCAAAATTGATTTTTTTGGATAATAATAAATTATAACAACGTTAAACCCTGTTTACATAATAAAAAAAAGAGGACACAATACTCGTTGAAACAAGGTTTGAATGTAATTAATAATTAATTTCAGAAAAATATATTAGTATTAATATTTTAATATTATTTATTTATTCCGAGATCACCAACCAATTATAGGATGAATCCGGATATACTTTTTTTCATCTATTACTATTACTATTACTATTACTATTACTATCCCAAATAGGTGAAAACGATTCATGACTTTTGATGTGTAAAAAAATCCCAAACCACACAAACCCCTGAAATACTGTGAAACTAGCACATATTTAACAGTTTTTATTCAAGGTTTATGATTTGGGATCGGGACTTGACCTTTTGAGTTTGGGTGGCAAATATAATTACCATCACTATTGGCAATGACGGTTACTTAACTTTGAAGATTTATGTGTACGGAGCACATATCTAATCAAATTCCACAATTTTTTTTATATTCTTCGCCTATATCTTTTTATTGTGGAATATGATTTTCTATCAGCTTTTAAGCTGTACCACTGTGTACGGAATTGATAAATTTTTAAACAAAGGTGTAAATGAACGTTGTTTTTTTCCATAATTAAAATTAAATTTGTTAACACTGCATCCGAAAAACATTAAAGAGATTAAACAAATAATGTACGTAAAACTTGCAAACAAAAAAAACATGCAAATCTCTACCAATTGCGTATAATAAATAAATGTATGATATTTGATACTGTTTTCTGGATGTGTAATCTATAACTTTCAATTGGTTAAATAACTTGCTTGAATATTTGGTTTAACTGTTCAAATAACCAGGAAATTATTTAGTTCAAAAATATTTGAACCAATTAAATTGCTAACACTGAATTCCATTGTTTCCGGAATTAGAAATTATGCAATTCCCGGATGTAACGTCATATATTAAATATTTGTAAAAAGCTTGCATTAGTTACGCGACGAAATTCCTAGTTACTATTACTATTATGTTTTAGACTAAAAATAAATAATATATCTTGTATGTCATAAGTTGTGATTACACAAGAGAGACATTTAAAGCATAGAATAGTTTAAAGACATAGATAACACAATATTGTGTTAAGAACATTACTAAGAACATTACTACGTATATAAATGGCCTAAATTCAACATACTTGAAAAATAACTTTGTAATAAGTTTATCTTGAAAATAAGTTAAATAATAAACTAGTTTTGACTAAATAAAATAAATAAACATTTCTTTATAAATCATTAAACAAACTATTCGCCAATAGCCAATTCATTCTGATACACATAATCAATTAATACGCTCTCCAAATAATAATAATAATAATAATTGGTGACACTATTACTATTACTATAACTTACCCGTAAAACGGACGAATTTAAAAATATTAATAATATAAGCATTCGAAATCTTTCTTTTATCGAAAATTAATTTTTTTTTTTAAAAAAAATTTATCCTTTACAAATTTTTCGTACAGATATTGAAAAAGGTTTATCTATTTACTACTAATAAAAAATGGCAGAAAATAACTTTGATAGTGTTAGAATAACAATCGATGACACAACAACAGATACAAATAGTATTATTGAGCAACAAAATAATATTGATATACATAGATGTCATATTGACCAAATAAAATATAGTCCTAATTTAAAGTTTTTTGTAACTCATAGTGAGAAAGATTCGTCTATTGTTGGATGGACCATTGATGACGAAGGAATTATCCAGCGAGATAATTGCTTTGATATTGCAGATGATTTTAAAAAACGCTCCTTTTCTATAAGAGATGTTTCTGATAACAAATATATAATTTTATATCAACAATATACAGGATGTTTTAGTAAGCAATTATTAATTAACTGATATATGTATTTTATTATTATAATAATCAAAATAATAAATCATTTAAATTAACTTTTTAGAACTTCTTAATTTTATAAAAAAATACAGTTTTATAACTAATGATAAAACAGAAGTAAAATTTTATGATGGACATTTTATTACAAATAATGATTTGTTGATGATTAAGAAAAAGAATGGTGATGATGATACCTACTGTTTATACAATTTTTCATATGTGAGTAATGATGACAATTATGATCCAAATGATAAATTGGTTCATAAATCAACATATTATTATGATGATGGTTATAAAGATAATGGTTCTAAGGTTTTTGTAAATTCTGGCAATTTTCTAATTGGTACTGTGGATTCATTTATATCACAATGGAAGGGTGTAACAATGTCATATCAAGATAATTATTATTTAGTATATAAAAATTACACTAATATTATATTTAATAAAGATAAAACAATAATGGTGCTATATTATGGGAATAGTTCAACATTAGTTGTATATTCATTAAAAAATAATATTATTGTTTCTACAAGTAAGTATTTATTTATATAATCTTATTATTTGCATGTTATAAATTTAATAAATATATTTCTATTTTGTAGTCAAATTGGAAAATAATATTGATATGGAAAAATATGATTTTATTTATCCAACAGATCAATTAGAATATTTATTAGTAATATATTATCATGAAAACACAAAATGCTATAAATATAAATTAATGGATCCTTATAATCTTGTTGATTTTATGGATATTACAGAGCATTTTAATAAGCATCTCTTAAAAAATACAAATGAAAATAATGAAAATGAAAGTGAAAAAAATATTTTATTTGGGCCAATTTTACCACATGGTAAAATAGCCATAGTTATAAACAATCAATTATACATTAAAGAAATAATTAACAAAGAAAAATTAGATGATATTCAACAGGAAATACATTTAAAGAACAATTATTGTTTACATATAACACAAGCATTACAAGGAATATTTGTAGCAGAGTATAAAAGACTAGAAAAATCTTCCATAAAAACTGGAAAATTAGTTACATGGTCAATAGAATATGATGATAAATTTAAAAATATTAATATCAAAGCACAAAAGATTAGTTATGGAATGGAAGAAAAACAATCAATAATTGATGAATATGGTCTTGAAAGTTCTCAAAAATTTAAATGTTCTAAATTATTAAATAATGATGATTTAATTTTATTAACAAAAGAATATATATACATTTTATCATTTGGCAACAAAGATTTCAAAATATTTACAAAATTTATTAAAAAAAAATTAAGTTTTGATGGTGGTGTTATAAAAAAGAATGATTATTTAGAAAATTTAACACAAGCATTACAAGAAATATCTGAAGCAGAGTGCAAAGGACCAGGAAACAAAATATCTAAAGCAGAGTACAAAGTACCAGGAGACAAAATACCTGAAGCAGAGTACAAAGGACCAGGAGACAAAATATCTGAAACAGAGCACATAGGACTGGGAAACCCTTCCAAAAAATTAATTACATGGTCAATAGAATATGATAACAAATTTAAAAATATTAATATAAAAGCAGAAAGAATTAATTATGGAATGGAAGGAAAACTATCAATAATTGATAAATATGTTCTTGAAAGTTCTCAAAAATTTAAATATTCTAAATTGTTAAATAATGATGATTTAATTTTATTAACAAAAGAATATATGCATATTTTATCAGTTGGCAACAAAAATTCCAAAATATTTACAAAGTTTATTAAAAAAGTAAATCTTGATGGTGTTTTAAAAGAGAATGATTATTTAAAAAATATTAAATCAGCTATTGAGAATATTATTGAAGATTATTTATTTGGTTTCAAAGATAGTTTTAACAATATTGATTATTCATATATTGATAAAGATCAAATTTCTAAACAACCACATAAAGAAATGCTAGAGATGATCAATGAGTTTTATTATTTCAACAAATTTGGAAAGGGAATGTTAAAGACAGCATTAGATACTAATAATAGTATTGTAGTAGAAAAAGTATTTGATTCTTGTCTTAAACATTTTATAAAAGATACTGATTTAAATACTAGTTTATTAAAAATAATTATATTGGAATTACCAAGATTAGAAAAAAATCATCATACTTTAATATCAAAATTCTTTAATCAGACTTCAATGATATTATTTCCATTTGTGGAAAATTGTTACAATCGGAAAAATTTTTATGATGTTATAGATGAAAAATTAGTTTATAAAGAAAAAAGCTTTTTGGATTATTATAGAAAATTTATAAATAATAGATTTATAAGATTTATAAATAAAAAGTTTATAAATAGAAAATTAGATACCAAATATGAAAAACCTTGTGTAAAATTGGTAATTCCATATCCTGGATTACTTACTTACAATGATAAATATTCAATTGGGAAAGAGTTGTTCTATAAGCCAGCAAATAGTAAATTTATTAAATTAGATACCCTAGAATTGTATAAACATTGGAATGGAAAAGCAATTTTGGATTCCAAGTGGAATAATTTTGGGTTCAAATATTATTTGGGGATTTGGGTCTTTTATATGGCATTTTTAGTATGCTTTGCAATTGCAACCTCTACTTTACCAGATCAATTATCTGACAAAAATAGGAATTCATTATTAATTACTACAATCATCCTTGGATTGCTTCATCTTAGTTTTGAAGTGAGACAATTTATTTGGAACCCAACAAAATATGTTAATGATCTCTGGAATTATTTTGGTATGACATTATTAATTATTGTTATTAGCTAAGCTAATTAATTAAATTTGATAATTTAATAATGATTATTATTTTATTTAATAGACCTTGGAGCATATTTCTTACCAATTGTTACTTCAACTCTATGGTTGTACCATAATGATTTACCAACTGTTGAGTTAGTTTCATTGTCTAATTTGTTATTAGACTTGAAATTTATGTTGTTTTTAAGAGCATTTACATACTTTGGAAGATATTTTGCAATCATTTTAGGAGTTGCTAAAAAAGTATTCTCATTTTTAATAATATTAGTTGTAATCATTCTAAGCTTTTCACATGCATTTTACATTTTATTGAAACCAATTCAAGAGGATTATACACTAGACAGGCCTGATTTTAGAGATAATGATCCCAATAATCCTTGGAATCTTGCTTCTAAATATTTTACATATTTTACAAGTGACAAATCATATAATCAGAATTCAATTATTGTACAACAACCTGATGGGAACACAAACATGTTTGCGCATTTTCACACCTCAATGCTAGCAATGTATAATTTCCTCACAGGTAAATTCTATATTAATATGATTTTAAAATAACATTTTCAATATGTCCAATAAATATTGATTATAAATAATGTCTTTTGATTTTTAATAGGTGATAGTGGAGCATTTGGATCTTGGCAATTACAAGATGAACCATATCTGGCAATATTATTTGTTGCATTTTCATTTGTTGTTGTGATATATTTAATGAATTTATTCATTGGTCTTCTTGGCAACCAAATTGAAAATTATAATGTAAATGAAGCATTTTTGGCTCAAAAGGCAAAAATCATAAAAGAGATTGAATTATTTTATTTACTTCCTTATCAACGTCGTTGGAAAGAATGGTTTCCTGATATATTGTAATTATGATTTTTTTTTCTTGTTTTTTTGTTTTCTGATAAATAATCATAAATAATTTAATTTGATAATTTGATAGATCTTATTATGCACCAGTTGAAGATATTCGAAAAAAAATTAGAAAAATTGATATTAGTAAAGAAGATCCAGAATTTCTTCCATTTATCTCTAAGAAACTTCGACAATTGGCAGATATGCCCAAGCCAGATGAAAAAAACAAAATGGTTAAAAATGATCTCAAGGAAATTAAAATGAATCATAAAAATCTTAAAAATGATCTCATGGAAATTGAAAACAAATTAAATAAATTAAATTATAATAATGAACAGATTTTACAAGAATTATTGGCTGAGATTAAAAATTTAAAAAAATAATTATTTTTCTATTTTAATTTTATTTTAATAAAGCTTTTTCTTGGAATTTTCTCAAATAAAATTTTCAAGTCCTTATCACTTTTGTGTTGCCTAATAAATATTTTATTGTATTATGTGATACTGTATATATAATAAGGTTAACGAGCTTTTAAACGAAATTGTGGCAGCGAGCTTCGTGTCTTTTACTTACAAGACAATAGTCTATTTTATTAATTCGGAAAAATATAAATAGGACGGCCGTCCCCACATTTTTTTTCGTAACCTCTCTCGACCAAATTCAACCTCTTATTATATTATTCACCAAAACTATTTTTAGATGATCTGCATTACAGCCAATCAGATTAAAACAATCAGCTAGCGAAATAGAAAATTTGTTGTTAAAGAATTCATTCAAGATTTGTGCGTTTCTTTCAAACCTTTTTGATATAAAGAAATTTAATCTTGCATCTGGAAATTCTCGATATAATGTGAGTATAATATGGATTTTTATTCCAAAAAAATATTGATTACATTTTTTTCTGATAAGTTTGTTAAATCTCAGAATGAAGGGGCATATGTTACAAAAATTATAGTTCCTATGGTGAAAGCTTCGCTAAAAAAATTACCAATAAAAAGTTTCGCTTTTGTTAGCACGTATGTATAATATTTTTTATTTTTTGCAGATAATTATGCATTTATATTTTTTTATTCATTTAGAGCGGAACGACAGAGTATAGCAAGTAAAAATCGAGGAGGAAAGACTGGCAAACGTCCTGACATTGTGTATATAGTGAAGCATGGAAGAAAAATTAATGTTTGTTGAATGCTCCCGTATTTTTTCTGATAAAGATAAAGAAAAAAATGATTGGGTAAAGTTATGGCGAGAGATGAACGACGGTATGTATTGGGTACATAGAGGTTGTAAACCAAAAAAAGATGAATTCGTAATTATTGGGACGCAAATTACTGGACAAAAACTTCATTTGAATATCCTTATTCGAGATAAAGATGATGTAAATAGGTTTTTTAAATTACGTTCAGTGGATATCCCGATACAATTCACAGGCAAAGATACTGTTTATAATTTTGTGGATACATTGTTGCCATTTCGGGTATGGATTTACTTGTTTATGCTGTTGCGTTTTTTTTTATGGAAAAGACACATCTAACTTTTTTTTATAGAAAATCCTAATTGTTAACCTATCATTATTATTAAATGCGGATCGTGATTTACATGGAGGTAAAGAAGATAGTTCGATAGTATCCTCCCCTCCACCTAACAATTAACCTGCGTTATTTTTTTTCCTTTAGTTTATTTTTACTATATCAATAAAACCAACCAGTACTCGAGATTTTCATATTCATTCGAAAAAATAAGCTGATTAATTATTATACATCCGACAATTTCCCACCACATGTTGAGAATATCCAAATCAAGATTATTTACCTCTAAAGATCTACATAATCAAAAATCGCTTTCACATCTTGCGTATTCTTATTTATGATAGTTATGTGATCTTCGTCTTTTCTTTGCATGTACTTATCCCGGTTTAAAAATTGCATATATCGCTTAGGATTATCGGTAAATCTTCCTTGAGTTTTGCGACTATTATTTCTAGATTTGCGAGACATATTTGATTGATATATCTATATGAATTAATGATCTTAATTTTTTCGAATTAATCTCAGATAAAAAACATGGACGAACATAATTTTTATAAGATAAATGGTTACATATAGAGTCCTTACTTTATTTCACGAAATAAAAATGTTGCTGAGACGACAATATACAATAAAAAAAATATCACCCCAGAAAGACGTAAAAAATATTACATGATGCGATACAAATAAAAAAAATCCAATCATTCATTCCCCGGTTCACGTAGGGAGTATGCAATAATGTGATATACGTTTCTAGGAGGATTATCATTAAAAAAACTAGAGATTGGAGATGGTGATCGCATACGCCTTTCATCTACACTTCCAGAATGAAAAATTTGGCGGATATCAAGGGGAATATTATTGAATGGAAATGACAACTGATTCTGAATTGTGGTTTGGAGATCATCAACCGTTGTATCTCTGGAAATAGTAATTGTAAGTACAATACTATTGATTACGTGGGCTATTAGGAATAGAAAGACAATTGAGAGTAAATTCTATCTAATTAAATTCAATTAAAACTTTGAATATATTTGTAAAACTAAATCTAACTAATATACATATATATAAGAATGGTTGATTTTTTTACGCAAGATATTTCCTTGTTTGTATTTCTTTGGTCAAGATTGACAAGGTTTTTTATAACAAAATGACACAGACTTTCCATCCAAACTTAACATTAACGTTAACATTAATTAATTAACATTAGACGATTAATGACTAATTTAATCTCCAACATAAATTTATTATCTTATTTTTATTTATTATTTTATTTCATTCTTATTTTATTTTTTATCTTGTAACAATTTTATTGAAATAATGAAATTTTTACAATTTTGATTCTTGTTAAATGGTGATATCATTTCAGTTAATTAACAATTATGGCTTAATTTTTGGGCTACTCTTTTTGGTTAATTCACAATAATTCAGTGCTTGTCAATTAATTAGTTTATGAATTTACTTTAGTTCTCGATTACTGCACCTAGACGAATCTGTGAGCATACTTAATGGACCAGATGACTGTAAATAAATAAACATGGTTCTTTTGCAATTCTATAAAGTTCCTGTTATTCACTTGTAATCGATTATATTTATTGGCCGATTGCAAACTCACTTTTGGTTTATTTACAAAACGACTTAATATTACATTTACAATTATAGTAACATTACCAGTATTTCCAATTAACCTTTAGACAATTCTTCGTTAACTGTTGTTAACATTCATTAGTTAACCAACATTGGTCCCAACTTTTATCTATTCATTAAAGAAAATTACATTACTAACTGTTGTTAGCACTCACTAGTTGATATGTAAATTGTCATGTGGTATTTTTATATCTTATGGTTTATATGAATAAATATTATGAAAAAATTGTTTCATTCAGGTCCTCCATAAAGTTTAAATGAAAATGTAACAGTGAGTTTCATGAAATATAGATTAGTATTAGCATTATTATTATAGTGCAATGATATTCTGACGTTATAATATTATAAAATCACACAACTCAATCACACAAATACATATTCGTTCGGAGCATCAAAATCAGCACTAGATGAAAAATATCTTAGCATCTTATCATGTATTCATGATCAATGATACAATTTTTAATAAAAATAGACTATTTCGTGACCAAATAGTGCATTGATCGAGTAGTCTAATAAACTACCACGAAAACATACACAATTAGACCCGTTACCTTCAACAATGCAAAAAAGGTGCATTGGTTTTGTTTTTTACGTTGTATTCGAATTCGATAGTCGAGGTATGTAGTGCTAAAATGGTGTTCTATATATGATTCGGTTACATTCAAATGCGAGGTATCTATATTTGTCTGGTAGCATCAACATTAGCCAGTCATGTTTTATCCATTGTGTTGAGCAAAAAAATTATTTATTTAAAAAAAATTACATTTACAAAGTGAAATTGTTTACGAATTTAATAAATTTAATAGAGGATCTTTTGCAAAGAAGAATCCTCAAAAGTTATTTACAAATTTCGATTGTTAAGAAAAACCAACTAAGCTTTTTTTTCTTAATTAAAAAAACCCTTTACAAAGATTTGTTTCTCCGAAAGAAAATTAAAAAAAATTTCCATCAGGTCTTCGTCTTGCTCTGACATTTTGGACCAATTGAAATGAATTCAAAAACATTTTTACATTTTATTTTGTTATCGGTCAATTCAATGATCTGTAAAACAAATACGCACTAATTTTTTTTGATTATTCATGTTGATAATTTTTTTGACATTGACCATTTGAGGGATAGTGGTAGACAGCTGTAGACACTACGCAAAAAAATCTAAGCGGAACACGATTTCCTTTCGGTCAAGTATTTGCTTCGCTCAACCCTGATGCTTTGAACAAAAATAGATAATTCTTCGGTTGTCAAATAAATATTTTTGTTGAAATTTCAATTTTAACAAATTAATTTCAAGCCAGCGTACAAAAAAAGAAAAAAGCAACTCATTACGAAGTTTACTAAAGTTGAGCAACAAAATGCTCAGTAGATTCGTGATTTGTTACCATAATTGCACCGGATTTACCGTTCCAAGTCATGACGAAATGTTTCCTGTGCATCCAAATTTGGGTAAAATTGTTAGGAAACAATAATATTACACAAAATATTAAATTATACACACAAATTATGACATTTAGGAAGTAACACGGCAACTTTTATTCTCAAAAATATCCCCAAGTCGAATTTTATATTAAGTGTCACATGATAAATTATCACTAGAAAGAGTCAATTTTGTACGTAAAACTTACAGTGAAATACTTAATTATGCTAATGTTAATGCTAATAGAGAAAGTAGAAAAGATTATTTTTTTTTCATTAGTTAAAAAAAACAAGGAGCTTTCTAAAAATGAAAAAGTATTTTGCAAGGAAAAGTTTATTTATGACCTTGAATTAAATAATGTAACATATAAATTGGGAAAACCAAAAGAATGTAACAAGTGTGAATTAACAAAATACTCTGATAGGTTCTGTGAAAGTTGTATTAGTTTACATTTACAGAGTCTTTTCACCACTTGGACATCTGAAAATAACATAATTGATGATTTTATTCAACAATGTCAAATGAAATCATCTCTGCCAACTCACATTTTAGAATGGATACCCTTTGAGCAATTTAAAAAAGTGACAAAGTTGACAGAAGGTGGATTTAGTTCGATTTTTACTGCTACATGGACAAGAGAAAGTATTAAAGATTACAACGAAAATAAAAAGGAATTTAGCTATTTTGGAGGTAGAGGGCAACTAGTAGTATTAAAAAGTTTAAATGATTCAAGTGATTCAGGAAAAGCCTTTTTTGATGAGGTTGGTAGTTTTCATTTAAAACAAATAAACAATGCTGCATTTTATAATATTAATTGATTTTATATTCAATAGGCTGTGAATTATTCTAAAATTAAATCACAATTAATTGTTAAGTGTTATGATATAACCAAATTCCCAGATAATGGAAATTATGCAATTGTTTTAACTTATGCTCCAGAAGGAAATTTAAGGGGTTATTTGCAAAAAAGTCATTTAACATTAAAAGACAGAATCAATATCTTTAGATATTTATGTTATGCATTAAATCAGATACATAAAAAAGATTTAATCCATTTGTGATTTACATAGTGGTAATCTACTTGTGGCAGGAGGTAATTGTTATATTACAGATTTAGGATTATGTGGACCAGTTGATGAAAAGTCATCAAATAAAGTCTATGGGATTGTATCATATGTTGCACCTGAGTTATTTAATGGTGAAAAGAACACCAAAGAAACTGATATCTATAGCGTTGGGATGTTAATGTGGGAAATATTTGCAGGTCACCCACCATTTGATGATAGAGCTCACAATCATCACTTAATATTTAGTATATTTGCAGGTTTACGACCACCAATATTACCTGGAATGCCTGACGATTATGTGCAAATGATGCAGAGGTGTTGGGATATGGATTCATCAAAAAGACCAACTAGTGGAGAGCTGCTTGAATTTGCTTATAACAAACGTAATGAAATTATTAATGATGATAATGGTAATCATACTACTAGTAGTGGTAGTGGTGCTTTGCAACAAGTATACAAATCACATCCAGATGCATATCATAAAAGCAGAATTTTAGATGAAGAGATTGCTAAATCTAAAAGCTTTAAAATTACAAGTAATAGTTCGTTAAATAATCTTGATTTTAACTCTTTTTTCTAAATGTGAATTATTAATCAATTAGAAATTAATATCCATTACTAACAATATTAATTAATTAATTAATAGGCATTAGATTCTAGTAACAATAGTAATTTAATCTCCATTATAAATTTATTATCTTCTTTTTATTTATCTTTTTATCTCATCCTTATTTTATTTCTTATCCTGTATCATTTCGGTTAATTAACAATTATGGTTTATAAAGTTCCTTTATTCACTTGTGATCGATTTGTTTCAGTTGTTTACATTTATTGGTGATTGCAAATTCGCTTTGGTTTACTTGCAAAACAACTTAAGTAGCTTGTTTAACAGCCTTACGTTTACGATTACAATGATACTACCAGTATTTACAACTAACCTTTGCTTACTCACTAAAGCAAATTACCTCATTAATCGTTGCTAGCACTCACTAGTTAATCAACGTTAGTCCTAATCTTGCTCATTAAAGCAAATAAACATGGCTTTTTACCAAAGCTCCACAATTGTTGCCTTTCATCAAGGCACTAACTACACTTGTTGCTTTTATCAAAGCGTTTCAAACATAAAAAATAAAAACGTTTTATTTTTAAAAGTTTATTAATGATTAATTTTATTTAATAAAAATAATGATTCTATCAGAGTTTTCTTCTGCGAGGACCCGAAGTTATCCTTTTTCAAGCGAATACCAGAAGTTATCCTTAATGAAATTTTTATTGATCACTACAATAAAGATAAAGATAAATATTGGCATGTAGAGCAACTTTTACATACATATGACTGATGTTTTTTCGAATTTTGATTTTGGATTAACAGTAATACACAATAATATTAATAATAAAATAAAACACATTTGAGCTGTCTTTAATGTCTGAGTTTGAAACAATATAGATCGATCAATATTGGTACTTGGAACAATCTTTTTACATAGCACATAAGACAGGTTTTGGTACATATTTTTGTAAGCTTTAATTTCTTTTTCAATTTTTATCACTTTAAATCTTCAAAAAATTTTTTTTATTGTTGAATCATGATAAATCGATCGGTAATAAAGAAGTTTAAATAATGCAATTTTTTTCTTATCAATTAATCCTTTTAAAGGCAATCAAATATAAAACGAAAAAAATTATTTGTTACACTCTATTCTCCGCAAAAATCTCCACATTTATTAAAGCACCAAGTCGAATTTTATATTTTTATATTTTATATCATGTCATTTAATAAACTATTATCATCGTTATCAGCAAAAAGAGAGAATTTCGTATATAAAGTTAATAATGAAATGCGCAATAATGCTAGTGTCAATTCTGATAGAGAAAGTATAAAAGATTATTTTTGTTCATTAGTAAAAAAAAACAAGGAGCTTTCTGAAAATGAAAAAGAATATTGTAAGGAAAGGTTTATTTATGAGTTTGAATTAGAGAATGCAAGAGATGAATTGGGAAAACCAAAAGAATGTAACAAGTGTGGATTGACAAGATACTCTGATAGGTTCTGTGAAGGTTGTATTAGTTTACAATTACAGAGCCTTTTCACCACTTGGACATCTGGAAATAACATAATTGATGATTTTATTCAACAATGTCAAATGAAATTATCTCTGCCAGGATATATTTTAGAATGGATACCTTTTGAGCAATTCAATTATGTAACAAAGTTGACTAAAGGTGGATTTAGTTCAATTTATACTGCTACATGGACAAGAGGAATTATTGATGATTATGATGAAGATAAAAAGGAACTTGGTTATTTTGGAGCTCAATCTGTTGTATTAAAAAGTTTAAATGATTCAAGTAGTCCAGGAAAAGCCTTTTTTGATGAGGTTGGTAGTTATCATTTAAAACAATACTATATTATATATAATATTAATTGATTTTATATTTATTTTCAGGCAATGAATTATTGTAAAATTAAAGCACCACTGATCGTTGAATGCTATGGTATAACTAAATTCCCAGATAATGGAAATTATGCAATTGTTTTAAATTATTTATCAGAAGGAAATTTAAGGGATTACTAAAGTTAATAATGAAATGCGCAATAATGCTAGTGTCAATTCTGATAGAGAAAGTATAAAAGATTATTTTTGTTCATTAGTAAAAAAAAACAAGGAGCTTTCTGAAAATGAAAAAGAATATTGTAAGGAAAGGTTTATTTATGAGTTTGAATTAGAGAATGCAAGAGATGAATTGGGAAAACCAAAAGAATGTAACAAGTGTGGATTGACAAGATACTCTGATAGGTTCTGTGAAGGTTGTATTAGTTTACAATTACAGAGCCTTTTCACCACTTGGACATCTGGAAATAACATAATTGATGATTTTATTCAACAATGTCAAATGAAATCATCTCTGCCAGACCATATTTTAGAATGGATACCTTTTGAACAATTTTATGATATAACAAAGTTGACAGAAGGTGGATTCAGTTCGATTTATACTGCTACATGGACAAGAAGAGGTATTAATGATTACGACGAAAATAAAAAGGAATTTAGTTATTTAGGAAGAAAAAATGTAGTATTAAAAAGTTTAAACAATTCAAGTAATCCAGGAAAAGGCTTTTTTGATGAGGTTGGTAGTTGTCATTTA